ACATTCCTATGTAAAAATGTAGCGTTGTTTTGAATACCGTTAAGCAGAAACTTGGTAATATTACTAATTTAGCGTTGAAAAAGTAGTCATGGGGTGCCGCCCTGTGGAAATCTGAGATTGTGTAAATTTCACAACAAACTCTTACCTGGTGCTGGTAATCCATAGACCGGGTTAACGATGCCGTGGTTAGCTCCATAGTCACTTCAGAGGAAGTTTAATGAAGTCAGTATGTAAATATCGGTCATGACCACTTTTTTTTTTTTTTTTTTACTTACCTCATAGTCAGTCTCTCCATTTTATAATTACACACTTTTGGAGAGATTGGCCGTGCGCGCGTGTGTGTGTGTGTGTGTGTGTGTGTGTTTTTATGATAGAGACAGCAATGCATCATGTTCTAATCTAGATCATCATGTTTGTAGTGTGTTCCAGGGGATTAAAAACGTACAATTTATATTTCAGACCTAGTGGAGCAATAGTAAATAATAATATAGTAAGTAATTGTAAATGTGTAAAGTTGCATAAGTTCATTACTTAGTGTCATATCCATATAAATCTATAGATCTATAGAATCTATAGAGTTTGTGCTCTGCGTTTAACCCATCCAAGTGCACGCACACAGTAGTGAACACACACACCCAGAGCAGTGTGTTCCAAGAAGAAGAAGACAAACATAAATGTATGCAATCTGTTAAGACTAGATGCTAAGGACATTTCCATATGTCATTTTTGTGCAAATATTTTGTGCATATTTAATGTACTGTAAATAGACTTTGCATGCCTGGAATTATAAAGTCTGCAAATTTCATAAATGTATTATATTTAAATTGATCCATAACACCGGAGTACAATAGTAAATTTCGAGAGTACCATATTTTTTTGTAAATACTGTATAGTAACGATAACTGTACCTACGGTATTTTTGCAGATACTTGCATTGCCATTGTACATTTTTATAGAACAAGTACTGCATACTAATACTAATATTAATAAAAATATTAACACTGCATATTAACTGTAGCCTACTATGCACAAAGCAATACATTCCTATGTAAAAATGTAGCGTTGTTTTGAATACCGTTAAGCAGAAACTTGGTAATATTACTAATTTAGCGTTGAAAAAGTAGTCATGGGGTGCCGCCCTGTGGAAATCTGAGATTGTGTAAATTTCACAACAAACTCTTACCTGGTGCTGGTAATCCATAGACCGGGTTAACGATGCCGTGGTTAGCTCCATAGTCACTTCAGAGGAAGTTTAATGAAGTCAGTATGTAAATATCGGTCATGACCACTTTTTTTTTTTTTTTTTTACTTACCTCATAGTCAGTCTCTCCATTTTGCAAACGGAGTGAGAACTAAAAGATTTCGGTAAAGTTGGCAAGATATTCACAGATTCGACTTTTCCGGATTAATAACTCACGAGCAAAATGTTTTTACTACTCAATTAACGCCTCTTTTCTTTCGTAGTGATGTAGAAAACGAGCTACAAGCGAGTTTTCATCAAAACAAGCTTTCCTCCGCGCTGTACAAAATACATTGAAGAGTCCGAAGGGACCGTCTGCAAAGTGCGAAACGCGAAGAATGTTACTAATAAAATACTCAATAACTTCACAGTAACACACTGTAGTGTCACCAAATTCAGTTTACACATCACTGCTCTCCTGCTGGTTATACTACAACAGTTATTTTGGAAAATAATTGCTTTTACGCATTTTTATGATTTAAAAAAACCAAAGTCATTACCTTCATTGTTATTGGACAAAATAATCAATAACATCACTGTGACACAATGTACTTTCTCCAAATTCAGTTCACACATCACTGCTCTCCTGCTGGTTTTACTACAACACTTATTTGGACAATAATTGCTTTTGAAGGATTTTCATGATTTAAAATTTTTTTAATAAATTCACTGTTATTGGACAAAATAGTCAATAACGTCACTGTAACACACTGTACTTTCTCAAAATTTCTGTTCAGACTTCACTGCTCTCCTGCTGGTTTTACCAAAGTAAAGTTATTTTGAAAATAATTGCTTTTGCATATTTTTTATGATTATTTCAAATGAAACTGCTTTTGCTTTTGGATGAACGCGTCTGCTGCATGAACAAGTGTAAAAGGTGTACATTGTACAGTGTGTTACAATGAAGTTATTGACTATTGACTATTTGTCATAATAAAAAATCATAAAAAATGTGTAAATCTGTTTTAGTATAACCAGCAGGAAAGCAGTGATGTGTAAACTGAATTTGGTGACACTACAGTGTGTTACTGTGAAGTTATTGAGTATTTTATTAGTAACATTTTTCGTGTTTCACACTTTGCAGACGGTCCCTTCGAACTTGTCTCTCAGACGCCAGCGCATTGATATCAATGTATTTTGTACAGCGCGGAGGAAAACTTGTTTTGAGGAAAACTCGCTTGTAGCTCGTTTTCTACATCACTGCGAAAGAAAAGAGGCGTCAGTTGTGTAGTAAAACATTGTGCTCGTGAGTTATTGATCCGGAAAAGTCGAATCTGTGAATATCTTGCCAACTTTACCGAACTGTAAAAGTTAAGAGTTCCTGAATAGATTCTTTATGCTGTACTCAGGGGCGTAAATTTCGTCTAACAGTTGGGGGGGGGCTACTTTATCACTGTTGCCGGCAGTTGTTTTTCATGTCCGCGGGTTGAAGCGACCCCAATAACGTGTATTTTAGCCCCCAGAATGCGATTTTTACCAAGGGACCTGCTCGAAACGCGGCTAGTTTTGAGTAGCAATTGGGCGGATTTTTTGGGGGGGCGGAATCGGATGCATTGTTTTTCACGATATTGCATAAATTGTCACAATGTGAAACTGTTTATCAGCTTTTGGCTACATTTAAACAGTACATTTATTATGAAACACAATGGTTAATGAAATAGCAAATATGGAACAAATAGGTAACGATTAACAGTAAGCTCCCGTTAGTTAATGCATTAACTAAGTAACAATGAGCAATACATTTGTTAAATAATTTATTAATCTTTAAGATTAGCTGCAACTGTTCATTGTTAGTTCATATTAGCTCCATTAGCCTAAATTATATTCAATTCAGTTCAAATTTGTACAGCGCTTTTCACGATACAAATCGTTGCAAAGCAACTTTACAGCAAATTAAGTTTCTACAATATTTAGTGGTAGCTTATCAGTGGTGACTGTCAGTTAATGTACATATGGAAGTAATGTATGGAAAAATCAATTAAAGACGTTATCAATTAAAGACATAATAAAACAGACGATGAACACTATTAACAGCAATTATTATATGATGCAATCAAACTTATAGCAAAATGTGGTAGTTCTGTATGTTGTTTCAGGGTTGGCATCATCTGAGGTCCTCTGAGGGGTTGTATCATCTCTTCTCAGGTGTTCTGGATCCAGACTGAAGCTTGTGTATAGACGAAGACAGAGAAACAAATAGAGACATAATCAGAGTAGCTGCTGTTCCAACCAAGCAAAATTGATTTGTTTAAATCAAGCTAAAGAATAATAATGTGCATTTGATCAGATATAACTGCGATACAAGATTATGAGATGCATTATTGTGGTAGAAGACTAGTTAGGTATGCAGGAGCTAACCAATTAAGGGCCTTATATAGGTAAGTATAGCCATAAGTATAGTCACTGCATTTTGGACTACCTGTAGCTTGTTTATTGAAGATGCAGGACAGCCAGCTAGCAGTGCATTGCAATAGTCCAGTCTAGAGGTCATGAATGCATGAACTAGCTTTTCTGCATCAGAAACAGGTAACATGTTTTGTAACTTGGCAATGTTTCTAAGATGGAAGAATGCTGTTTTTGTAACATGGGAAATATGATTTTCAAAAGACAAGTTGCTATCTAATATAACACTCAGATTTTTGACTGTAGAGGAAGTAACAGTACATATGTCTAGTTGCAAATTGTAATCCAAGAGATTCGGTGTACTGTTGTTTGGTCCAATAAGTAATATCTCTGTTGTTGAGATATATAGTTGAGTATCATCAGCATAACAGTGGAAACTAATCCTGTATTTTCTAATAATATAACCAAGGGGCAATATGTATATCGAAAATACCAGAGGACCTAGGACAGATCCTTGTGGCACTCCATATTTTACTGGTGATACTTGAGATGACTCCCCATTTAAATGAACAAAGTAGTAGCGATCGGACAGGTAGGATCTAAACCAAATTATATGAACGGGTACAACTTTTGATTTTTATAATGTATTAATACTTTTTTTAATGAACGTTGAATATTCAAGCAACAGCTGAAAACTGTGTTTTCCGTCAACATTTAACTGCATGGTAAAGAAAATTGTTTTCCTCAAATGTGAGTAAAATTAATTTAGTAGTAATTAAAATAAAATAAAAAGCTAGATGAATAAATGCAAATGTGCTTCAGAAGATTGACTAATGTTAACAAATGGAACCGCAGAAGTGTTATGAAACCAATGTTTTGGCAAACACATTTAGTTAATTATGAACCATGTGACAACCTGGCTTGCCTTATTAAAATGCCCTTGTCCTAAGAAAACAATTATACTTTATACCTTTATGTTATATATTTGACATTTTTATTTGCACATTGACAGTTTCTATAATATGACAAAAAAGAATTAATTCATTGGAAATTTGAATGAGATACAGTACTTTCTACAGTACAGTACAGTAATAAATTGTGACAACTAGCCCCAGTCTCCCCTCCATAATATTGCATGATTACCATACATACAGTACCATGGTATTTAAACATCCAAATCAAAATATGGTTCTGTCATAGTAGTTTTGGTACTTTATTGTTAGTGTGGTGTCTCTCCTGTGGTTCAGGCAGCCTGTATCTCAGTAGCAGGCCACTTCAGTCCATCTGTCTCATCTGTGAGCAGCCAATGCACACACTTGCACCCCATCGGTGTTATCAGCCCTACCCACTATATTTAACTGGATTTATTATTAAGTCATACCCAGATTGTCATGACGTTATATTGAGGAGGGTGAAATGAGATTAGCCGTGTTTCTTCAAAGCCTTCATATCTGAGTAAGACACAGGATTTCCCACAGCAAATGAACAAAGAGCTCTTCCAGGATGAAGAGAAATGGTAGAGGAGGAAGATAAGAAAGAAAGAGACCCGAAGCAAGACTAGGCTAAAGATCCGTGTGGTACGGGCCAGAGGAGAAGGAAAGAGGAGCCATGTGGCACGTTAGTTGTTCTTTAAATCCTAAAGTGCTCCCAGACGGGGTCCCTGCATGGGCGACCATGAAGAAAGGACTGGTTGGAGGAGTCAAAGGGAAGAGGAAGATGTTCTCGTTTTCTTTACGATGTCGGATTGGAGTTATCAGAGGAAGGGTTAAAGGTAAGACATAAGAGAAGGTGCATAAGGTGTGAGTGTGTGGTGATGTTTGAACAGGTGTAATTTTTTTTTCTTGGCTGTGGGGTCTGAGAAATGAATGCAAGATCTGTTGTCCTATGTCAGCTAAAGTGACCTGCAAAACAGTGTTCAGCCACATGGGGGCTGTATAGTTTAAAATGACTGTCTGAAAAAAGACAGTACTCATTATTTTTGCATTATTATTATTATTTTTTTTAAAACAGCAAAAATAGTCTGCAGTCCTTTACAGTGAACCACCCCAGTATTTGTACCTTATTAATTTCACCGCATTAGATTACAGATTATCAGTTATTTAGAATTTGTATTAATCATTTCACGCTTTATTTGCTTAAAATGTGATATATTTCTTAAAAATAAATTCACGTTGGTTAGATGTATTATTATATGTGCTCATAAACTGAAATGTAAACTACCAGTCAACATTTTTAAATAATTAAGATATTTTTTAAATGTCTTTAGTCTCTTATGCTCACCAAGGCTGCATTTATTTGATCAAAATACAGTAAATTTTAAAGGACAGTTGTCTCTTTGAATATTTTAGTAATATTTCAGCATATTTCTTAGCAAAAAGATTAAATTTTAAAAATGATTATATTATCATATCACATTAGAATGATTTCTGAAGTATCATGTGACACTGAAGACTGGAGTAATGATGCTGAAAATTCAGCTTTGCAGTTATTAAACTCTCAGTGTGGTGTATTGACTGTATATTATGTGTTGTGTGTCATCTGTTGCTGGGGAGGGGCTTTTTTTTGGGTGTTACAGTAACCAGAGAAGAATGTGTGGTACAGAATGTGTTGATGGGTTAGACAGGTGTTCGTCTCACATGCGGCTGTCAAGACAAAAGTCTAGTAGTGGGTGAAATAGCCCCACCAACCCCCAAAAATGAAATCTGAGAGCAGATTTGCACAGACTTGCTCTTAGTTTGTCCCTTTAAAGGCTAGTAAAGTGTATGGATTTCATTCTGTGCATAAAATAGTAAAAGCCAGTTTTAACAAGATTACAACATGAGGAATAGATGCATATATTTGATTCTAAAGTGCACAAAATGCTGTTTTTGAAAGGGATAATGTTCTGTCATTATATCTTAATTAAAATCTGACAAGGGGGAACAGGATTTTTTATCCTTTATTTTGTAGTAGCTATGTTGAAAATGTTTATGAAATATTGATTATTATATTATGTAAGAAGAAAGAGGGCACGTATATACTGTATGTCAGTTAAATGTGACAACAGTCAATTATACAAACTAGTAGTCATTATATAAAATTATTTAACGTCAGAATGCCACCATTGTCCAATCAGAATCAAGCATTCCAGATAGTTGCGTAGGAAGTCATAATATTCACATCAATGTTAAGTTTGCAAACCATGGTTCTAGCATTTTTCATGGTAATAATATGGAAGTACAAAGGAGTAAAAAAGTAATAATACCTCGATGTTGTGATGTATCAGATGGTACTTTGATCTATATCATAGCACTGAAATTCATCTACCATGTTATTTATAACATTACACTCTCAGAAATAAAGGTACAAAAGTTGTCACTGGGGAGGTACCTTTTCAAAAGGCACACCTTTGTACCTAAAGAGTCCATATTGGAACCTTGAAGGTACAAAAGTGTACCCTTTGAAAAGGTACCGCCCCAGTGACAACTTTTGTACCTTTTTTTCTGAGTGTGTAGAAAAAAAAGTACAGTGCTGGCACCATGGTACTAGTACTTTGAAATACACCATGGTACTGAAATATTTTTTAAACATGTATCATAGCAATACCATGATGTTTGATTTGTCATGGTGTTACCATAGTATTAGTTGAAATACTATAAATAATATACAGTAGATAAGTCATATATATTAATATGCTATGCATCTATGTTCTATATATTATATCTTGTATATATCAGTACCGTGCTATTAAGTCAAGTCAAGTCAAGTCACCTTTATTTATATAGAGCTTTTAACAATACAGATTGTGTCAAAGCAACTGAACAGCATTAATTAGGAAAATAGTGTGTCAATAATGCAAAATGATAATAGTAAACACTAATTTTTCAGTTCATCATTGAATTCAGTGATGTCATCATCCAGCTCAGTTCAGTTTAAATAGTGTCTTTGCAATCATTTGCAATCAAGTCAACGATATCGCTGGAAATGAAGTGTCCCCAACTAAGCAAGCCAGAGGCGACAGTGGCAAGGAACCAAAACTCCATCGGTGACAGAATGGAGAAAAAACCTTGGGAGAAACCAGGCTCAGTCGGGGGGCCAGTTCTCCTCTGACCAGACAAAACCAGCAGTTCAATTTCAGGCTGCAGCAAAGTCACATTGTGCAGAGGACTCATCTGGTTCCTGTGGTCTTGTTCCGGTGGTCATCTGAGACAAGGTATTTACAGAGGATCTGTATCTGGGGCTCATCTAGTTGTCCTGGTCTCCGCTGTCTTTCAGGGCTGTGGAGGTCCTTTCTAGGTGCTGATCCACCATCTGGTCTGAATATGTACTGGATCCGGGTGACTGCAGTGACCATCTGATCTGGATACAGACTGGATCTGGTGGCTACGGTGACCTCGGAATAAGAGAGAAACAGACTAATATTAGCGTAGATGCCATTCTTCTAACAATGTAGCAAGTACATCGGGGGTTATGAGAAGTGTCCCGGTTCCAGTTGACCTAATTAATGCAGCTTAAAAATCCTTTAACGGATTTGAATATTAGAAGTGTATTAGTGTGTTATGTGTAAGCCAGGTTAAAGAGACGGGTCTTTAATCTAGATTTAAACTGCAAGAGTGTGTCTCCCTCCCGAACAATGTTAGGTAGGTTATTCCAGAGTTTGGGTGCTAAATAGTCAAGTCAAGTTTATTTGTACAGCGCTTTTCACCATACAAATCATTGCAAAGCAACTTTTACCATCTGGTGCATCATTTTGTTTTAATTTTTGATGACTGTGATTTGATGGTAATGAAACTACATTTACCAGGGCTGTTTCACACTAGATGCTTGGCTGTAAAATGTCTCTTCTGCTCACCAAGGCTGCATTTGTTTGATCAAAAATACAGTAGAAACGGTAATTTTGGGAAATATTATTGCAATTTAAAAGAAATGTTTTCTATTTTAATATACTTTAAAATGTAATTTATTTCTGTGATGGAAAGCTGATTTTTCAGCATCATTATTCCAGTCTTCAGTGTCAGGTAGTCCTTCAAAAATCATTCTAATATGCTGATTTGGTCATCAAAAACATTTTTTTTAATTATTATTATTATCAATGTTGAAAACAGTTGTGCTGCTTAATATTTTTGTGGAAACTGAGATATATTTTTTTCAGGATTGTTTAAAGACATTTACCATGCATAATGTTGCAAAGGCTGTTTCGCACTAGATGCTCAGCTGCCAAATGAAGGGAAACGGGGCATGTGAGAGGAGAACGGACAGGGAGGAGGAAGTGTTTGTGCGTGAGGGGGCTGAGAGAGTAGTGAGGGGGTTTGGCTGTGTGTGTGTGTGTGTGTGTGTGTGTGTGTTTAATATCTACATTTGCTTGCCAGTAGGAAGATACTCTCAGGCACAGAGTGCAAGACTGCGTGTGTGAACAGAGATGATTAATAAGCCAGCGCAGGAAGCTCAAGAAGTGACGGAGTGGCAGAAAGGAGGGAGGAGAGGAGAGAAGGAGCGAGTGTGTGTTCTGTCCGGGTCTGATCTCTGTGAAGCACTGGAGCGTTCAGATACATTCCCATACTGCAGCACTGTCATCGCTGGATAAACTACCATCTGCTTCGGCTCACGCTGCAAAACCAGGACAGAATCTGTGCAAGCGGATCACACGTGTTTTATGGATGACTGACTGGAGACTAGTTGCATGTGCGGAGGAGACCACGTTATGCTGTTTGGAAAGAGCAAACTGGAGTGGCACTGGAATGTCTCAGGAATAATCCAGTTCCAGCTATGCAACACTTTTTCAGTCGTTCATTCGCGCATTACACTCTGACTGTCGCTCACATGGACCTGCAGAAATAAATATATTTGATCTGCATTTATTAATGTAAAAAAATGGAATTCTATATGATTTGTGTAGTCTGCCTGTATGGATTGAACATCATCTGTGCAACAGGATCAGCTATAGATAAAACTATCTGAGGTCGCTGAATGGATTCATCTAGTCTGCTTGATTCATTCTCTAAGGAATCCTAACTGAAGTTACACATGTCAAATGTTAATTTCCAGGTGTGCACTTTAACAAACGGTTTGGTCAATTTAGCTAGTTCCTAAACTGATGTGAGGCAGAATGGAATCGTGATATTCCCATGATGCTGTGTGGTTTGAGAAGAGAGGGTCGCAACAACAGTGGTGAGTCATGTTGATCATTTTTCCACATTTGGTCCTTTCTTTTTCACTTTTTCTGTCGTATGCATTATGTTTTTCTTCAAAACAAAACATTAATAATGTAATTTTTGCCAGAGAATGTGTTGAACAGGTTGTCGCCCAGGCCCTGTGACAAATAGGGTCTGCTATGTTCCTGTCACGGTTGCACTACTGAGAGGAGTGCGGAGCGAGGAACGATGGAGATGAGGATTACATCAATCGAGAGAATTTGAATGAAATCAAGGAAAACTCACGTAGCTGTATAGTCACGTATCGACATGAACAATACCGGACGCTGAACTAAGAACAGGGAACACTATTTAAACACATGACAAGACGAGGGGATGAAGAGACATACCTGGGATCAATGGAAATAAACGGGGAACACCTGGAATCAAATCAACACAATGGGGACATGAACAGGAAGGTACCAAATAAGGGCATAAGGAAGCACAAAACACGGGACAGAGTCTGACATAACTCCCCCCTCCCAGAAGGTGCGTCCCGCGCCATTCAACATCCAACAGGAAGGGGGGGTGGGCGCTCTGGAGGCCTCTAGGAGCAGAGTTACCGGACTGAAGGCCTCCAGTGCGGCGCCCGTTCCGGGACCCTGGCGGATCTGAAAGCTCGGGGCGCCACGGAGGAGCAGGCCGCTCAGGAGGCCATGGCAGAGCAGCCTCCGAGGCCAAGGCCGCGGCCCCAAAAAATACTTGGGGAAGATTACAGGCTCCGAGACCCTCCGTGGGCCATAACCGGAGACTGGAGCCCTCCCTGGGCTCAACGGGGGATCTGGAGCCCTCCCTGGGCTAGACTCGGGAACAGGAGCCCTCACTGGGCTAGACTCGGGAACAGGAGCCCTCACTGGGCTAGACTCAGGAACTGGGAAGCGCTTACGAGGAGCTGCCAGCGGCCAGCGGCCAGCGGCCAGCGGGCTTGAGTGAGCCGGGGCCGACGGGCTCGTCTTCGGAGCGGTGAAACGTGCGGAGGTTTCCATGCCGCGGGGAAAAATGGGAAAACAAAAACTATTAAAAAAGGCGGAAAACAAACACGGGGAAAAAGACGCCGGTTACTTTTAGTTTTGGTTCGGTATTCTGTCACGGTTCCACTACTGAGAGGAGTGCGGAGCGAGGAACGAAGGAGACGAGGAGTACATCAATTGAGAGAATTTTAATGACATCAAGGAAAACTCATGTAGCACAGGTTGACATGAACAATTCCGGACCCTGAACTAAGAACAGGGAACACTATTTAAACACATGACAAGACGAGGGGATGACGAGAGACACCTGGGATCAATGGAAATAAACGGGAGCACATGGAATCAATTCAACACAATGGGGACAGGAACAGGAAGGAACCAAATAAGGGCATAAGGAAGCACAAAACACGGGACAGAGTCTGACAGTTCCTCTATGAAACTGTCTACCTATTTGGCCAGGGTAAAGAAGGCCCAGCTGTAACATTTTGTCCTGGGCCGTGTGGTTTTTAGCTCCAGCCCTGCTGGTAAATGGAAAAAGCCTGTTGAGAGCTGAGCGAGGGATGACAACTGGGGCCACTGGGGCCTCTATAAATAAAATCCCAGGTCTGAAAATAGGCCCTGAGCTTCCATGTGCATTGTTAGAACATCATTCTGTTTAACCTACATCAGGATTGGTGTCAACACAACCAGGGCCGTCGGAGTGCTTTGCTCCAAATTAGTTTCAGAGTTTTAATAGACTTGGAAAATGAGTTATCATGACCCATAGTGACAGTTTTACTCTGATGTCACTTTCAAAGAATCTGCTGTGTGTGTGAGTTATATAACAATTACTGAATACTCATAGATGTGCTGTTTGTTGAGTTTTAAAGCAGTGGTGTGATGTTTTGAGCCTTTGACGTATTTAAACAAACAGTCCGGGTGATGTTGGTTTAATTGTTTAGTCTTTTGGCCTAAAGGGCAGCTGAACCATCTTCACTGACCAAAAGGAGATGACTAACACATTGAGATTGGTTGACCTTTATTTGTTGAGAAGCACACAAAATGCCTCTACATCAAGTTCTTATTATTTTCAATTTCAACACAGCTTGAGGTCAGTAATATTTTTTGTAAAATAAAATCAACATTTTTATTCAGCAAGGATGAGTGACAGTAAAGACATTTATAATGTTACAAAATATTTCTCTTTCAAAGAAATGCTGTTCTAGTGAACTTTCTAGATCTGGACTGGAAACTGAAAGGATGTTAAGTTCAAAACCCCTAAGTGACAAGCCTTGAGCTTTCAGCATCATTTTAGGTTGCTCCAGTGGGACCATTCTAGTATCTGAATGTTGCTGAAAACCGTATTCGCAACCTGTACTTCCATAAAGTATCTTTCCAAATGAAATTGGATATTTAATAATATTTGACTTACATTTAGGCCTACATTTTTAGTTTTTGGAGTGAATCAATTCCTCTTACATAATTTTTAATTGCATATAAAATTTCCATCCATTTGGATTGCACAGTTTTTACATAAACTAATAAACGTCAGTCACACATAAATGACACGCGTAAGATTATGCACTCATAAAGTTATGCACTCAACATTCTAAATGTTATCAAAAGCAATCAATCCAAGTCTGATTATTCAGTAAACTGCCTTTGTAACTTATTGTCATAATTTATTTGATAATTTCATGTTTCAGATGATGTCCCATACACAAAGGGAAGCAAAGATTCTGCAAGTGACAGCAGTGGCCTCAACAAGAGGAGTAGCATTGTTGGTAAGTTGGCATGTGAACCAACAGAACGGAAACCTGCAGATAACTGCTGTTCAATTAACAGTTCACCCAAAAATGAACATTTGCTGAACATTTCCACACCCTCAGACCGTCCAAGATGTAGATGAACTTGTTTCTTCATGGAAACAGATTTGGAGAAATTTAGCATTAAGTCACTTGCTCACCAATGGATCCTCTACAGAGTGGTATGGATTATTGTGATGTTTTTATCAGCTGTTTGGACTCTCATTCTGACGGCACCCATTCACTGCAGAGGATCCATTGGTGAGCAAGTGATGTAATGCTACATTTAAGCAAATCAGTTCTGATGAAGAAACAAACTCATCTACATCCTCAATGGCCTGAGAAATTTTCAACAAATTTTCATTTTTGGATGAACTATTCCTTTAATGCTTCACATGACACCACTATGCTGTATCAGAATGTGTTTTGCTCTAGATTGAGTCTCTTTATTAAGGAGCTCTGTGAGTCTCAGCACACATACAGTGTCTCGTACATTAAGGTAAAGAGTCTGTGATAATACTGATATTTGATTTCTTCGGACCGCTGCTGTAAACCCTCAGTCGCTCTCTGTTCTTTTCTTTTTATCCGTTGGGCTTGTGAAGAATCATGTCAGTTAATTTGTCTCTACTGATTTACCACACTGACACTCACTATCAGATGCTGTAGAGATTTAACAGAAGTAATGAGCACATACTTTGCATTGCAGTGGCTACATCATAAAAGCTTAGCACATAATTTGTCTTTATTTGGTCAAACTGAATAGAATATTCTCCTTAATGGTGTCCTCATAGCAGTTATGAGTGGAAATTTATAGAATACAAAGTATTTATGTAATTCTGTTTTCTTGAACTGAATGTTGTTTGTTACAAAAAAAATCGAAATATTAAAATAAGTACATTTTGTTTTATAATAAACAATAAAATTGAACAAATAATACAAAGAGAGAAATTTAACTTTTATGTAAATAGTAAATCTTTTTAAACCATTACACTTAGTAATTTCTTCGCATTAAAAATATAGTTCTTCATAAAATCTTGTTGAGCAATTTATCTTTATTCTGTCATAAGTATTAGAGTAATTAGATTCTACATCCAAAAAAATCTTCTCCTTAAAGGGGTGCTCATAAACGTCATGAGTGGACATTTTTGGAATACAAAATATTTTTGTATTTCTATTTTTCTTCGATTATATACAGTATTTGTGGTAATTTAAAAATGTGTGTATTATAAGTGAGATATTGTGTTTGTGACAAAGAAATAAATGTAAAAATAAAAACAATTAAAAATCATAATTTTTATTTTATCATTACACATATCATTAAAAAGTCTGGAGAAAGTTTTTTTTAAAGATATTAATTATTTTATTCAGAAAGGATGTTAAATTGATCAAAAGTGACAGTAAAGACCTTTACATTGTTACAAACGATTTCAATGAAAAATCATTGAAAAGATTGATAATATTAAGAACATTGATAATATTAAGAAAAGTTTCTTGAGGAGCAAATCAGCATATTAGAATGATTTCTGAAGGATCATGTGACACTGAAGACTGGAGTAATGATGCTGAAAATACAGCTTTGACTCACAGGAATAGATTACATTTCAAATTACAAATTTAATTTAAATTGTAATAATATTTCACAATATTTATATTTTTGCTATATTTTTGATCATATAAGTGCAGCCTTGGTGAGTATAAGATACTACATTTAAAAAGATTTTAAAAATCTTATCGACCCCAAACTTTTGAATGACATTAATGCAACTGAAGCGCTTTTAGGTTCCAAGTGTGAAATGTGAAAAGATTCTTTTACTTTATATACAAACCAACAACAACAACAAAACAAATCAGTAATAATTATTTTAATTTTTTATTTTTTTACAATTCTTTGGACATGACTTGACATTTTAACTACATGACTTGGACAACTTATTACTCACATTATTCTACCAGACTGCGATACTACCATCTGCCCTTCATGAAATGGTTAAATGAATCTCATGTCACAATGCATGGCTACACAAGCTCCCACGGGTGAGTTACCTGCTGTGAAGGGCCGTGTGCTGGAGCTTGTGTGCTTATTGTGTGTGTTTGTGTATGCACAGATGAGCAGAGAGGTGTGACGACAGTGGAACTGATTAAAAAAGAGGGCACCAGTCTCGGCCTCACGATCTCCGGAGGTTGTGACAAGGACGGCAAGCCAAGAGTGTCGAACCTAAGACCAGGAGGTCTCGCAATCCGGTGAGAAACAGATGAGACACACACACACATGCATGCTGATCAGTGACTCAACTGCCAGTAGAACATTTCATTGCTCAATAGTTGCTCTTTCACAGCACAAACGACTTCATTAAGCTCTCAGTTATGCTTCAGTGGGGTATCAGCTTTCTCTTGGTTCTCCTAAAAATCAAATGGCTTTTAATTAATCCAATATGCTAATCTTAGATGTTATGTTTTGTAATTTTGTGTTATGTGTGGCTTTTATGTAATCTTGTAGTGTACAACACTTTGGTCAGTTTTTGCTGTTTTAATTTGTGCTTTATAAATAAACTAAAAACTAAAACTAGTATAGAGCAGACTTTGGTATCCTGGCAAATCTGAGCACCGTTTGAGAGATTGTTGAGAGAGATCTCTGAGAGATTACTGTGTTCTTTTTCCCTGAAGGAAAATCATGAGAGGCAGAAAATTTAAGGTTAACATGAATAAAAAGGTTTCTTTTTTTGTACTTCTGTGTGCTTCGTTGTGAAAGCGAAACTACTTTGTTTGGTCTTCCAAAAGAGGACGATATCTGCTTCCTCATTCCTGGAGCTGATCTGTGCTGGTTGCTGAGGAAATACTACAACTTCGCGCTGTGGATCGCTGGATCGGCTTTCACCGTGGACGAAGCGGAGTCCAGCCCGGAGTCGTCACATGTCCTTCCGGACACTCCTTCGTCGAAATCGCCGGCCGCGCCTCTGTTCACTCTAACCCTCCCGCCGTTCCTCACTTTATACCCCGGCCTCTGCTCACTGTAGGCCACCGTGTGTGATGCTGTTTCGTTGTGAAAGCGAAACTACTTTGTTTGGTCTTCCAAAAATGGACACGACTAGAAATCAGTGGTTAAGTTGTATTTACAACACTGTTCCAGAACACTTCAAGAAGCAAGATTTTTAGCACAGCTATACTCCGTCATACGTCCAAATTGTTTTTTTTTATTTTGTCCATGCTTAGCATGAGAATCTGACTCTTTAACAGTGTAAACAACTCTGAATGCATGAAACAGCATTGTACTCCCCCTTTAAACTTAACTTAAAACTTCATATGTTCAAGTAAAATACAAAAAAATATATATTTTATTTTATGCAAAAATATATTTTATGCAAAGCGAAGCACACTTTGTATTTGTATTTGTGCCACACACCATTACATTCAGTTTTGCTTTAAATACATTTGTGTAGGTGTGGCATTTATGACAAATGTTGTTTATAATAAATGCAACTATATAAGTCTGTTTTATACTTTTATATTATTTTTCCTTTCTGTTCTGTTCTGAATATTGGTAAATTTAAAGGATTTGTTGTGGAGTAAGAAAAACTAAAATACATACAGTATTTATAGTGTTTATAATGTTATGTATGTAATGATAAACATTCCATTTACAGCTATTTTACATTATTTCTCAATGTAATAGTAGAATGTTATCATACACTGATTTTTTTTTTCTCTCAACAATGCAATTTTGATCTGGTGGGACTTATTTTCCAGACAATATAATGATAAAAATGACAAAAACGCAACAAAATTACTGAAACTAAAACTAAAATGAAAATGAAAAATATAAAACTAAAAACGAACAAAATATTCATCAAAACTATAATAGTATGCCAATGATAGTAAAATAACATTGGTGTAGTGTGTGCGACTTATGTTCTGGAAAATATGGTAATAAAATGACATAAATGCAAGAAAATTACTAAAACCTAAAGTAAAATTAAAACGGTACCATATAAAAACGAATACAAAATATTAATCAAAGCTATAATAGTATCTTAATGATACTAAATCAACACTGGTGTAGTGTGTACAACTTATTTTCCAGAAAATATGTGAATAAAAAATACAAAAATTTAAACTAAAATGAAAATGGAAAATATAAAAATAAAAACTCAATCAAAATATTCATAAAAACTATAATAGTATCCCAGTAATGCTAAAATAGTTCTGGTGTAGTGTGTGTGGTGCACCATGTTTACTCACACAGTTCTTTAATCTCAGGATCTGGGCTGCTCCTGTGTGTGTGTGTGTGTGTGTGTGACCTCAGGATGTGGGCTGCTTCGTCACATCAGCCTCTAGTGTGACAGGCTGATGCAGGCCTAATGTGACCGCTCTCTCTCCGTCACACACGCACAAGGAAGATTTTAGTTGAATGGTTGCGCTGACCTGTAGGCAGCCGCAAGACTGATGTGTGTGCATGTTGCTGAATGCAGAGTTGCAAACGTTTGTTTTGCAGCCAGGTGATTTAAACGTATGACCCTGTATTTAAGTTTACAGCTAATGGTTTTATCAGTTTCTGAAGCTCTAGCGCAGATGTGCGAGTGTGTAATTATTATGCGTGTTAATGCGGTTTAACTCCACTGCAAAATTATGCAGAATCACAAAATGATGGGTTTTCGGTGTTTCGTTTTGCCTTCGGTTGTGTGCCTCATGTGTAAATTAACTACTTTTGTGTGTCGTCATTGTGTCGGTTCCGAGCGTGTGCTGTTGTCTAAGTTAATGCGATGCTTACAGGCAAAATCCCAGCACTGGATGACAGCAGCGGCTTAAATTAGCTTCTACAACAGTACATGAGGAGTCAGCTCTGCTAACATCACACACATATACACTCACACACTGCACATGCCTGCTGCACAACGCACCTTTCTGCAGCAGATTGTGCAGTCTTCATATCAGTGCAGCATGTTATATGGAATTAATCTTGTGCTTTGGATTTAGATCTGTGAATGACAGAGTTACAGCCTATAAGAGTCTTTTATAGTGATGTCATTACCAATAATAGATTTTCATACACTACCTTTCCGTATGTGGTTGGTTTTTTGAAAGATTTATTCATTTATTTGATCAAAAATACAGTAAAAACAGTAAATGTTATTACAACTTCAAATAACTGTTTTCTATTTTAATATATGTTAAAATGTAATTTATTCCTGGGATGTAAAGCATCATTTCATGATCCTGAAATCATTCTAATATGCTGAATTGATGCTCAAGAAACATTTCTGATTATTATCAATGGTGAAAACAGTTGTGTGGCTTAATATTTTTGTGGAAACTGTGATACATTTTTTTCAAAAGAACATAATTTATTTGAAATAGAATTAAAGGGACAAAATGTAGGTTACATACTATAAATGTGGCCTTTTTCATGTATTTGTAAAAGATAAATATCTACCTGTATGAATCTACTTTTAGATTTATACATTTAGCGGACACTTCTATCCAAAGCAACTTCTTTTGCTTTTTTTTTTTTTTGCACTTATGCAATTTTTTCAGTTCTTGCGTTCCGTTAATTGAACCCATGACCTTGGCATTTCTAGTGCCATGCTTTACTATCTCTGTACACTTTTCCCCAGACATATTAAACAGAAACATGTTACCAAAATGTATCACTGCATTGTTCAGTTTTCCTTATGCGTCTGTGTGGCAGGAGTGACCAACTCAATGTTGGGGACTACATAAAGTCAGTGAACGGCATAAACCTGTCCAAACTCAGACATGATGAGATCATCAGCATGCTGAAGAACATCGGTGAGCGTGTGGTGCTGGAGGTGGAGTACGAGCTGCCGCCATTCGGTACGGACACAAATACATTCACATTCACTCCAGTCTCCTGCTGAATAAACCCCATTTGGGGTAGTAAGATTTTTAAATGTTTTTGAAAGAAGTCTCTTATGGTCACCAAAGCTGAATTTATTTGATCAAAAATACAGTAAAAACAGTACTATTGCAAAATGTCATTTCAATTTAAAATAACTGTTTTCTATTTGAATATATGTTAAAATGTAATTTCTGTGATGCAAAGCTGAATTTTCAGCATCATTACTCCAGTCTTCAGTGTCACATGATCCTTCAGAAATCATTCTAATATTCTGACTTTCTGAGAATTTTGATTATTATAAATGTTGACGATAGTTAAAAAAGTATTTTTTACCTGATACCTCTGATCACGGTACAGTAGTACGTCAACAGAACTGAATATGTAAAAGCCATTTCATCAGAGTTCTCAATGATTTAATATGTGACAAATACGTGGCATTAGTGTTTATGGTCTTGTTAAAGTAAAAATATTGTGCTGTAGTGCTGTATCTTATCCTCCTGTGACATTAACACAAGCTGTTCTCTGTGTGTTTAGCTCCCAGCAGTCCCTGCAGCGTCATCTCTAAAACTATCGAAGTGTGCTTGGAAAAAGAAGGAAACAGCTTTGGCTTCGTTCTGAGAGGTACCGAACCACTATCAGACACCTTGAAATGTCTTTACATGCGTTTTTAACTTTAAATGATGTTATTTGATGGAAAATTACATCAATGATGGTTTGAAATCAATATATATATATATATATATATTTATTTATTTATTTTTATTTATTATATCACAAAGAATATTCCAGGCTCATTACAACCGTTTTTCCCAAAACGGGTTCATGAGGGACCTGCATGGGGGTTGTGCTAATAATTAATATAATCATAAAAATGTCAAATTAAAATTAATTAATAATTTTCATGTAAAAACATCTAACTTACTAAAGAAATTATTTTCTGCATGTCATGTGTCCTCTAACTAACAGCAGAAAACCATGAACATGTAAATGTTTTGTTGTTTTATTGCAATATTAACTTAAAATCTCAGGGTGTACTTAAAGAAAATATTTTAGATTTAAAATGGTCTGGTTTGACAAAACAATTTGGGAATCATTTCAATACTAATTCAGCACTGTGCATATTTTACTTGTTTTTACAAACCGAGGGAAAAGGAAACATTTATTTTAAAGCATTTGTGTGATATTTCTCTCAAGGGCAGCAAGAGTGTGTGTGTGTGTGTGTGTTCAGCTGCATTTTATGACTAAAGGCAATTGGGTTGACATGTCAGGTGTGTGTTTCACATGCTTTCAGGGGGCTTTCATGAGGACTGGCATAAGGCTCGACCTCTAGTAGTGACCTACGTCAGGCCCGGCGGACCCGCAGACAGGTGAGACCACGATGACTCAAATCATTGGTGTGTGTGAGACATGAGGTCCTTTAGAACATCTCTGTTTATTAATTAGCAGAATGTCTGAATCATCGTGAAGCACTCTGCCTCTGTCTGTGTGTGTGTGTGTGTGTGTGTGTGTCACATCAGTGCTGTCTGCATGCATTCGGTAGGTTTTTTGTGTATATATTGGTGTAATAGAGTTTTTGTGTATCTGTGTATGAGATGTTTTGTATTTGGTGTATTGGTGTAGATTATGGGAGCAGTCTGTATGTTGTATGTGTGATCGTTGAACCCTGTAAGCTGGTTCTGCAGGCACACGTTAACTGAAGCATAGGCTGATGAGATTAGAATGAGTGAGAAGGGTAGAACACAGCCTGAAGAACACACACACACACACAGAAGAGCAGACGAAACACATGCAGATGAACGTTTCCTGTTTCAACTTCTTGCTTTAATGTGAATTAGATTAGCATAATAATTACACTTCCACAATGCGTATTGTTCATGCAAAACAACACTTATATCAGTACCTCCAGTCTTTCACGATTCAGCAAAATCAGCAAAATGTTGCATTTCTGTGTTTCTGCGTAATTCGTCTGTACACACATTAGTCTGATAAAGAAACATGCATGAATGAGAAAAAATTAAAAGTGTGACATGCTTGATGGTAAAGAGAGTTATTTAAGGAATAGTTCAAGATGTAGATGTTGCTTGTTTCTTCATGGGAATAGATTTGGAGAATTTGCTCACCAATGGATCCTCTGCAGTGAATGGGTGCCGTCAGAATGAGAGGTCAAACAGCCGATAAAAACACCACAATAATCCACAAGAAATCCACACCGCTCCAGTCCATCAATGAATGTCTTGTGAAGTGAAAAACTGTGGGTCTGTAATAATCAAATCCATGATTATCTGTGTGTATGTGCTGTACATGTGGAAGAATTGACAATAAAGCAGACTTGAACTTGAACTTGAAGACATTTTAACTTCAAACCGTTGTTCCCAAGTCAAAAATTAGTCTTCTATCCATAATATTGCTTTCTCGCTATTTACAAGCAAAAACAGTCCAAAGCGGTACTAAACGAATTTGTTGGATTTTGATGTGAGAGGACAACAGAGGATGGACTTTTTCGCTGGAGAAAGAATTATTATGGATAATGGACTCGTATTTTGGCCAGAAGTGACGGTTTAAGATTAACGGTTAACCTTAGTGCAGGACATAGTGTGCGAGATGGTTTAAACGTCTTGATGGATTTGTTACTTATGATTTGTTTGTTGTACGTAATGATGATGTATTTGTTGCAAATACACAGCCTTTCACTTCACAAGACATTAACTGATGGACTGGAGTGGTGTGGAATACTTCTGGATTATTGTGATGTTTTTATCAGCTGTTTGGACTCTCATTCTGACGGCACCCATTCACTGCAGAGGACCATTGGTGAGCAAGTGATGCAATGCTACATTTCTCCAAATCTGTTCTGATGAAGAAACAAACAACATCTACATGTTGGATGAGTGTTTTGTACCTGAATACTAAACCTCCATGAAAAATGTAAAGCATTTAGTGTCATACACATGGTAAATGTGGTATCCTAATTATAAAAATAAATCATACAATTTCCGTGAAATGCTTAAAATTACTTCACAAAATCAGTCATTTTGATCATAAAAAATCATGAAATCCTGGTGGAACTGTTTTATTTTAGCATTCACGTCTGCATTCACCTCTCATCTCTGTTGCTGTCATTTTATGTTTCCGTACGTCTCTCCATGTTTCTCCGTCTGCCAGAGAGGGTACCCTGCGAGCGGGCGACCGAGTGTTGAGCGTGAACGGTGTTGCTGTGAACAGACAGAAACATGCTGACGCTCTGACCCTGATCATGCAGAGCAGCCAGGAGGCTTTCTTCCTCATCGAGTATGACATCATGGTCATGGGTGAGCAGGCACAAAGACATGCGCTTGTATGCACAGATATTCTCATGTGGCCTTAATTAGAGTAGAAACATATTCTACTTCCCTCTAGATTCCCATAGGAAAGACAAAGCACCAATGAGATCTCTGTCTTTTCTCATGGAAGGCAATGAGATTAAAGCTTCCTTCAGATATTTTGTACATATCTGAATTAAAATGTAATATCCCCTACTCTTTTCTGTCTCTCTCTGGTTCCGGCTTGACCTCATGGCAGACTCAGTCCAGAAGTCATCTGGGCCGCTCCAGGTGGACATTGCCCGCTCTGCAGGTTCAGTACTGGGACTCAGTCTCACTACCTCTCTCTACAGGAACAAACAGGTCATTACAATCCAGAAAATCAAACCTGCTAGTGTTGCGGACAGGTGAGAACACCCAAATTCACGCACAAATTTAGAGCCAAACAGACATGTAAAGAATCACCTACACAAATACCTTAATAAATTAAATATGTACAAACGCATGGACAGTAATTTCATTCTAAATAATTATTTAGCTGATCCAACAGAGTAATTTTACAAGAGTGATGGATTAATAAATCAGCCAAGCAGATTGTTCTGTCAGTATGTGGTCAATTGGTTCATATTTGATTCGATTTTTTATCATTTTAAATAAATATTGTCTACAATAAATTAACATATATTTATTTTTATATTTATATTATACAATATTATGTACTTTATGCTTTTTATTTTATACTGATTATAAGGTGCATTAATGTTTATTGTCCCTAGTAAATAAACAAAGAAACAAATAAATAAATATTATATTTGCATCATATCTCCCATCGTTTCCCCTGCTTTCTAGGCATGACACATCTTTACAGTATGTGCATTTTATTTTTGTCTGTCACCTTGTGTTTGCAGATACGCTCCTCATGACTACTTTTATATCCACATGCAATAAAAATTGGATTATTTATTTGAATTAGCATGAAAGTATTCTCACATAATTCTTCGTACATAAACATATTTAGCTATCCTCTTCTCTTGCTGTCTCTTTTTTTTAACCTCACACCTTCCTGTTGTGACTGTTTTCACCCCTTTTCTTGCTTTGCTCCACACAAATGACTTTCTCAACTTGTTACCACCGCTGTCTTTTTCTCTCTTGCCGTCTTTCCCTCTTTCCCTCAGATGTGGTGCTTTGCATGTGGGAGATATTCTCCTGGCTATAGATGGCATGAGCACAGAGCACTGCTCTCTGATGGAGGCTCAGCAGCTCCTGTCCAGCTCCTCAGAGCTCACCAAACTAGAGATCCTGCCCTCTCAACACTGCTCACATGATACAGGTCTGCAGACACTCACTGTCACATACAGCTCATAAACAAACTCAAAGACCCATAGTGACTGATATTCACAAGCTTAGATAATCTAGACATGTCCGGTAGAATTGATTCACAAGCAGCTTTACTTTGGCTATGTTTGCAATAGCATACTACCATACTCTTTACATGCTACTACATTCTAGATACTACATTTTGCCAAAATGTGCAATATACAAACAAGGGCTTACTGCACTGAATACTACAGTGGGTATAGAAAAGAATCACCTCCCTTTAAAATAATCATAATTTGTTGCTTTGCAGCCAGAAATGAAGACGGACACAGTTTTTGTTTTATCCAGCTGTATTTACTTTATATCATCCAAGTGAAAGATATAACACCAACATGTCAGAAAAAAAAAAAAAGCAGAATCACTGATTTGGAAAAAGGATCTTCCGCTTGTGTCAGTATTTTGTTGAATCACTTTTGCTTTAATTACAGCCTTTAGTCAGTTGGGATTTGTCTCAGTCTCTACTAACTCTGCATATCTAGTCTTGGCAATATTTGCCCACTCTTCTTTGCACAACTGCTCAAGTTCAGTTCAATTTGATGGTGAGCGTTCAAATCATTCCACAGATTTTCAGTGGGGTTTAAGTCTGAGCTCTGACTAGATCATGCAAGGACATTTAGCTTTCTCTTTTTCAACCACTGTGTGCTCAGTTTTGCTGTGTGCTTTCTGTCATTGTCATGTGGAGGTAAACCTTCTTCCCATTGACAGCTTTCTGGCAGAAGACAGCAGATTTTCCTCAAGAATGTGATGGTATTTTACCCCATCCATTTTTCCTGTCAAGTGCTCCAGTCGCTGCTGCAGAGAAACACCCCATAACAGGAGATCACCACCTCCATGCTTTACTGGAGGAATGCTGTTATTTGGATGGTGAGCTGTGCTGGATTTCCGCCAGACAAATCGTTTGGTGTGGAGGCTAAATAATTCAATTTTAGTCTCATCTGCCTCAGAATCTTCAAGGTGTGTTTTGGCAAAGCTCAGTCTGACTGCATGTGGCCTTTCTTGAGGAGTGGCTTTTTTCTTGCAACCCTCCCATACAAGCCACATTAGTGGAGAATTTGTGATATTGTCGTCACATGCACACAATGACCACTCGCTGTCATAAATTCCTGCAGCTGCTTCAGAGTTGGTCGCCTCTCTGACCAGTTTCCGCCTGGCTCTTTCATCCAGTTTGGAGCGACGTCCTGATCCAGGGAGGGTCTGTGTTGTACCAAATACATTTCACTTCTTAATAATATACTTCTCTGTGCTTCTAGGAAGTGATAGGACGATTGATACCGAGGCTCCGATGCAGTTTTCAAAGCACTATTGTATCACACTCTGTGCCGATGCTTGTATCGAAATGACAATACCACGTGATTAATGACGTTTGAAGCTTCGAACGTCATGCAGTATCAGAAGGTCAGGACAGCTGGTTTGAAAAATATCGGTGCTTCGCATGACCCTTGTGTTTGACTTTACATTGACTTGGTTGTGTGTGTGTGTACACTTATTTGGGATTCAGTAGAATAGTTTAGAATAACCTCAACACTAGACAGAAACTGAATGCACGTCACAGCTCTATTGCATTTTATCATGTTCTAGCTGGAGTCTCAGAGACCACGAACAGCTCACCCAAAATATTTTTGCTGCTACCCACATCAATTATTAATTATAATCACACACTTGTATATTTTATATTATTGATCAATATGTGAATCCACGAGTTGGCACAGATTAAAAACTTTTTCAAACCATCCTCTGCTCCGAGATGTTTCATTAGATGAAACCGAGTCTGACCTCCAGACGTCGCTAATGCGCACTGTGTTAAAAAGCTTTGAGTTTTGAACCGTTTTTCGGCACAATTTGATGAAAGCCTCAAATGGTTCAGAAAGCCTCGGTTTCCCATCACTACTTCTAGGCATTGATGAAGACTTTGAAATTTCTTTGTCTCCATCTCCTGACTTGTGCCTGTCCACAACTTTATCCCGGAGATCTTTTGACAGTGCCTCGCCACCCATAGTTGATTGTTTGCTTCAGTTGCACTACTGATGACTGAAATGCTCCAGGAAAAGCTCTTTTCATGCTGAGCTGATCAAAATGAGCACAGTTGAAAGTCAAATGGCTTTGCGTGCCTTTGAGCAGGTGATTAGCTACACCTGATTGAGTTTACTTTTTAGATTGAACTTTTTCGATTTAAAGAGTTTAGATTTTAGATCTAAAGGATTAACTTTTTAGATTTTTATTTAGTTAGTTAGTTATATCTGGAGACCACTTACATTTCTGAATTTCAAAAAGTACCATACAACAGTATGTTTTTGTTTTGCCATACTATTTGATGCAATTTATGTATATTTGCTAAACCCATCATAGTGAGTTCATATGGAGAAAAAAAGTATACTATACAGTTTGAAATACTATTAGTTTTGTATACTATTTTTATATTGTAAAAACCATAGGCTGTATTCATTGTATACTGCACAGTAAGCAGTACACTTATGCATTTATCCAGGCTGATTTCCCGTCAACTAGCATTAGTACAAAAAGAGCATCAAAGCTCTATTTTTAATTCATATCCTATTCATGTTCAATTCATCAATTCAGTTCACAGCTGCTGCTTTACACTTTCATCCTTACTGGATTCTTTCCTTGTCTCATCTTAATTTCTCCTTCTCTTCTCTGTTTCTGTCGTTCTTTGACCTTTATTTGTGCCAGTGTTGGTTTGTAGTGGTTGTTGGCATCCAGCTTTGGGCCACTTTCTTACAAGTATCATGAGTCATTCTTAATATGCAGAGCACTGCAGGCAAGACTTCCCCTACCCTACAGACACAAGCCCACACACACACACACACACACACACACACACACACCCACCCACCATGAGATCAGAGCCTTCACTCTGGCTTTACTATGTTACTAGAAAACTGCATTCTGACTGTATCATTGGATTTTCTAGAAATGTGATATGAACAAACGCACAGCAGTTATAAAGTGATTTGAACACCTGCATCCTCTTTAGCTCAAGCTTGAACTCAGTGGGCAGCTCAACTGTCAAAGAATAATCTCATATGTGGAGTCATTTTTCATGCGCACAGATTATACATTGCAGAACTGAAAACTGAGGAATGTACAGAAAGATGTCTCTTATGCTCACCAGTGCTGCATTTATTTGATTAAAAATACAGTAAAAACAGTGACATATTATTACAGTTTAAAGTTTCCTATTTGAATATATTTTAAAATGTGATTCATTCCTGTGATGCAAAGCTGAATTTTCAGCAGCCACTATAGTCTAGTCTTCAGTGTCACATGATTCTTCACTGATTTGCATGTTTAAATCAACAGGTACTGCTCAGGTATCATCCCAGAAGTGAACTTGCTGTATTTAGGATTTTTACTACTGTTTTAAATAAAAATATCGGATCTCTTGGGTGTCTGATCTAATAATGAGTCAGGAAACAGATTTCTTCTGGTTGATTCACAAAGGTTAAGTTCATGTTTGCATTGCAATGTGGGATGCGTTTTTCCCCTCAGTATGCTCTGTTGTACACAGCACATTTTGACATGTAGTACATCATCCATACATACAGAAAAATTCAGTATGCATGTAGCATACTGCAGAAATAGTAAATGTATTATGGTGGTGTGCTGCTCTGATCATAATTTTATTTTACGTTTTAGTAATTTTATATGCTCTTGTCATTTATTATTTTTTTTTATTTCAGTTCTAGTTTTTCAGTAAATTTTTTTTAAAATTTCAGTTAGTTGTCTAGGCAACATTTTTTAAGTTCTTGAGGTTTTTAATATAATATTTAGAATAAAAAATATTTAGGAATTTTTTATTTATTTAGGCTTTATATAATACTGTTGATACATCTGTCAGCAAAAACACACATTCCATGATATTGTGAATATCATTTGTAAGTATTTTCTATATTTTCTAACTTTCTGAATCCTGTATGACCTATGTAATTAATATATGATCTATTTTATGATTCATCAGACTTCCAAGAGTTTAGATGTTTTTACATATAAAAAATGCTAAATAAACATGTATTTATTTATTTATTTATTATATTTTATATGAATACCTGTTTGACTAACTATATTTGCCGGAATATGCGATCCATATCAGAGTTCACAGTTAAGCACACACACACACACACACACACACACACACACACCCACCCACCATGAGATCAGAGCCTTCACTCTGGCTTTACTATGTTACTAGAAAACTGCATTCTGACTGTATCATTGGATTTTCTAGAAATGTGATATGAACAAACGCACAGCAGTTATAAAGTGATTTGAACACCTGCATCCTCTTTAGCTCAAGCTTGAACTCAGTGGGCAGCTCAACTGTCAAAGAATAATCTCATATGTGGAGTCATTTTTCATGCGCACAGATTATACATTGCAGAACTGAAAACTGAGGAATGTACAGAAAGATGTCTCTTATGCTCACCAGTGCTGCATTTATTTGATTAAAAATACAGTAAAAACAGTGACATATTATTACAGTTTAAAGTTTCCTATTTGAATATATTTTAAAATGTGATTCATTCCTGTGATGCAAAGCTGAATTTTCAGCAGCCACTATAGTCTAGTCTTCAGTGTCACATGATTCTTCACTGATTTGCATGTTTAAATCAACAGGTACTGCTCAGGTATCATCCCAGAAGTGAACTTGCTGTATTTAGGATTTTTACTACTGTTTTAAATAAAAATATCGGATCTCTTGGGTGTCTGATCTAATAATGAGTCAGGAAACAGATTTCTTCTGGTTGATTCACAAAGGTTAAGTTCATGTTTGCATTGCAATGTGGGATGCGTTTTTCCCCTCAGTATGCTCTGTTGTACACAGCACATTTTGACATGTAGTACATCATCCATACATACAGAAAAATTCAGTATGCATGTAGCATACTGCAGAAATAGTAAATGTATTATGGTGGTGTGCTGCTCTGATCATAATTTTATTTTACGTTTTAGTAATTTTATATGCTCTTGTCATTTATTATTTTTTTTTATTTCAGTTCTAGTTTTTCAGTAAATTTTTTTTAAAATTTCAGTTAGTTGTCTAGGCAACATTTTTTAAGTTCTTGAGGTTTTTAATATAATATTTAGAATAAAAAATATTTAGGAATTTTTTATTTATTTAGGCTTTATATAATACTGTTGATACATCTGTCAGCAAAAACACACATTCCATGATATTGTGAATATCATTTGTAAGTATTTTCTATATTTTCTAACTTTCTGAATCCTGTATGACCTATGTAATTAATATATGATCTATTTTATGATTCATCAGACTTCCAAGAGTTTAGATGTTTTTACATATAAAAAATGCTAAATAAACATGTATTTATTTATTTATTTATTATATTTTATATGAATACCTGTTTGACTAACTATATTTGCCGGAATATGCGATCCATATCAGAGTTCACAGTTAAGGTTTGTCTGGTTAAAAAGTTTGAGGTTCTTAAAAGCATGACTATTTTTTCTGTTTGCCGTCGTCTTTATCACAGCTTAGTATTTAGGATCGAGAAGAAAAATTATTGAAATAACTGCTTATAAGACAGCAGAGTAATACAAAGAAAAGCAAGGCACAGGAGCTCTTTGAAGTGCAGATTTATCTCTGTCGAAACAGCTGGTCTGATGAGCGTGACACGATGCATGCCTAATTAAGCATTGTTAGTGACACAGCTGCTTAGTGTCACAAGCAGCCGTTTCTGTCAGAATCCAAAACAATGTCCTCTTTCTTTCTTGCAGAGCATTTGTTCTAATCGTGAGTCAAGAGAGAGTTTTAAGATGGTTCCTCCATTGCTGTCAGCCTTACTAGAGCTGGCCCGGAAATGTAAGAGAGAGAAAAAGAAATGGAGGGAATAAATGCACTGCGTGTGAAGGAGTGAACGGAACGCGTGCCTGTGAGCAGCGTCTCTGATTTGGCCCTGTGAATGTCAATGATCATCAGTGAAGCAGTGTGGATCAGTCCACATCAGATCTTTCTGCAGGCGCATATCAGCCTGAGTGCTGTAACATAAGCTTGTTTTCAGCAGAAATAACCCATTTATTGCCTTGAAGTGCAGATTTATCTCTGTCGAAACAGCTGGTCTGATGAGCGTGACACGATGCATGCCTAATTAAGCATTGTTAGTGACACAGCTGCTTAGTGTCACAAGCAGCCGTTTCTGTCAGAATCCAAAACAATGTCCTCTTTCTTTCTTGCAGAGCATTTGTTCTAATCGTGAGTCAAGAGAGAGTTTTAAGATGGTTCCTCCATTGCTGTCAGCCTTACTAGAGCTGGCCCGGAAATGTAAGAGAGAGAAAAAGAAATGGAGGGAATAAATGCGCTGCGTGTGAAGGAGTGAACGAAACGCGTGCCTGTGAGCAGCGTCTCTGATTTGGCCCTGTGAATGTCAATGATCATCAGTGAAGCAGTGTGGATCAGTCCACATCAGATCTTTCTGCAGGCGCATATCAGCCTGAGTGCTGTAACATAAGCTTGTTTTCAGCAGAAATAACCCATTTATTGCTCATTTTGTGTGTGTCTGTGTTTTCCCTGCAGTACGTGTCCAGCGGAGTAGTCAGCGTCAGTGGGACTCTAGTGACAACTACATCAGCGCTCCTCCACCTTTCCAAAAAACACCCTCAGCCTGGAGTCACACCACCCCTACACCCTCACTCCGATGTGAGTGTCTCCTGTGTGCATGTCCTGTGTCTTCATAATGAACTGTGCATTAAATATAGAAACGAGATGTAATGATGCAGTTAAGTATTTTAAGCATATAATTAAAGGGTTAGTTCACCCAAAAATGAAAATTAGGCTGCGTTTTACTCACTCCCGAGGCATCCTAGGTGTATAGGACTTTCTTCTTTCAGACGAATCCAGTTGGAGTTATATTAAAAATTGTCTTTGATCTTTCAAGCTTAGAGGGTGTTGCATTGCTTCAGTCCAAAAGAACTTAAATAAAAAGCGCCCATCCATAAAAAAGTGTCTCACACGGCTCCAGGGGGTGAACAAAGGCCTCCTGTAGCGAATCGATGCGTTTTTGTAAGAAAAATATCCATATTCAAAACATGAAACAGCTTGAAAGATCAAAGACAATTTTTTATATGACTCCGACTGTATTCGTCTGAAAGAAGAAAGTCATATACACCTAGCATGCCTCGGGGGTGAGTAAAACGCAGCCTAATTTTCAATTTTTGGGTGAACTAACCCTTCAAGCATTTTAATGCACTTAACTATTTTTGTAGCATGCATACTGTGCACAGGGTGCAAACTGTCTGTATGAGTGGAATACCTGGATGACCTACTGTGTGGTAGATTAATTGGAAGTAATATCGTCCATTAATAATGATTTTATTTGCTTTTTAACTTTAATTCTTTTTCTTTTTTTTATCTATATTCATGTTTTTAAAATGTGTCATTATTTATATTTTTCTTTTCTTAATTTTTGATTTTTACTTATTCATATTTACCTATTTATATTTTTCTTTCTTTTCATTTTTATTCATTTTTTACTTTATTTTCATTATCTTTCTTTCATTTATGTTTTTCAATTGTATTTACATATTCACTTTACTTTCATTTATTTTAATGTTTACCTGTAGTATTTTCATTATTTATTTATTTATTTATTTATTTTTAACACTTTTCCGACAAAGTCAAGGAATATATTTATGTGTGTTCCCATTTTTGCAATCTATGCTGTTTCAAAGCAGATTTACAATAATTGAAATAACCGTCACTCATGCTGCATACTAACGGTATGTTAGTATTCCATTCCACATATAGCCATACGCCAATTACACATGGTGATTCCAGCATTGTCGATCTCCAATCTTCTCTCCTCCAGCTGTGACGTCTGGCATCTCTGCAAACACATCAGGCTTTCACAGTTACAGCTGTAGCACCCAGTCGACGTACCCCAACACCTTCCCCAGCAGCACCCTGCCCTCCTACCCATCCAGCCCTCGCTGCACCGCCACCAAGAGGAGACAAAGGAGAAGAGACCACAAGAGCTCCTGTGAGTGCATTCATATAAAGATTTATGTCTCATCTCTGCCTTTCGGCTTACGTCCAGTTTAGTATAGCTATCTCTCATTTAATATGACTGTTTCTGACATGTAGACAAAAAGAAAAAATATTTATATGAAAATAATAATGTTATATACAGTATAATAATATAATACGGATATTCCAGCAGTCTTTAACCATGTTTTTGTAGAGTAAAATATCTGAGTGATTTTCAACTCAAACATTTCCAAATATAACATTTGCTTTAAAATTATAAAATAAATTATGAATTTCAATTAATTTAATTCATAAATAAATGAGCTAAGACAGCTAAGACTTTCTTTAAAAACAAAAGTTTCTCCAGTTGCCCCCAGAACTGGTAACACCTAAAAGCATCTCAAAGGCAAACACTACTTGGTGAGTCACCTATAGTATAATTTGTTTGTAATGAATCATTTGAAAAGTGAACAATTGTAATTATGGCCAGGTTGGGAAACACTAAAATATAATTTTTCCCCCCTGTATTAATATCCCTAACATATTATATTACTTGGGTGAAGAAGAGTTATTTGTTTATTATTATTATTATTATTAATATTGAAGATTTTATTTATTGAATAGTGTTTTTTAATCATAATTTTATTGCATAATGTAAAAGAAATTAAAATAATATACATTTTTAATATGAATAATAATGCTGAATGATATCCAGTATTATAAGAGCGACACAAAAGTAGCCAATATACTTTCTATATTAATGCCTCAAGTTGCTAGTCATGCAATATTACAATTAAAAACCATATTAAAATTGTAATAAACAATATTACATGGGAAGAACTGTTTGTTTGATTGTTAATCTACAGTATTTATCTATCATTATTAATTTATCTTCATCATTTCTTTGTGTATATTTAATGTTTTAATTGTTGAATAACGTCTTACAGTGTTGTTAAAGAATATAAAAAAGTAAAACACACAAAAAAGAAAAGGTTGGACATCAGTGTTTTTGTTTTTTAAAACCATGATTAAAGCAGCACTATGTAACTTTTTCTGTGTTCAAAATTTACAAAATGTATATAATGAGCGAGTACATCATGAATTCATCTTCCAAACCGCGTTTTTGTCTTATTCCGAATCACTACGGTACACTTATAATAAGTACTTATATTTGGACTATTGTAGCCTGGTCGGGTCGTCACCGCTGCGGAGTAACACATACCTGCGTGAATCGCCATAGACATAAACTTAGAGAAGTAGCTTCAGTTGGAATGTTCTTCCGCGGGATGTGTGCAGTTCTGTTTATTATTAACCGCTAGAGCGCCAAAAGTTACATAGTGCTGCTTTAAGGGTTTTAAGCTCCACTTTGCATTATTGTATGTCAAATAATGATTGAATTTGATTCCATATTAAACATATGAAACATTCTCTCTCAGTGTCTCTGGCGACGAGTACAGTGGGCGCCGGCGGTCAGGTGGTGCATATAGAAACCAGTGAGGTGCTTCTGAGAGGAGATCCTCTTTCTGGATTCGGCCTGCAGTTACAGGGGGGAGGGTTTGCTACAGAACCGCTGTCAGCGCCTGCCTGTGTTCGCTTTATAGAGCCTGACACACCTGCTGAAAGGTGAGAGGACGCCGCTGCGCCGAGCTGTCCAACTGTAGACGTGATGCATGCTGAAGCCATTGTCTAGTGCACTGAATCTCAACTTTTTGGCGTACCGGACCCCAGTCCAATTCAGAACCATCCTCAAGGACCCCCCAGAACAAAATTGACTCATCTATGTGTCATTTGTGTCTTTGTGAGGACCAAATGCAGTCAAGTATAATTCAAGTTAGTTGACTTGTCCAGTATTTGGCCATATCATCAGCTATATTGGATTTTTCTTTCATGGTAACATGTCATGTCAAAATATACAAAATTTATACAAAAATTAATACTTTATACGGACCCCCTGGCCTTACGTCAATGACCACTATGGTTGAGAAACACTGGTTTAGTGCATTTAGAGCCTGTGGAGAGATGTATGTACATGTGTGTACACACACACACACACACACGTCTGGTTTGCTATCCTTGTGGGGACTCTCCATATGCGTTATGGTTTTTCTACTGTACAGACCATATTTTCTATCGCCCTACACCAATGCTACACCTAAACCTACCCCTTACAGGAAACTTTTAGCATTTTTACGTTCTCAAAAAACTTGATTTTGTGTGATTTATTAGTTTGTTTACCCGTGGGGACCTCAATTTAGGTCCCCACCGTGACACGAGTCCCCCTGAGTCTGTGTGTATTCAGGTTTAAGTCCCCACCAGAACAGAAAAACAGGTACACACACACACACACGAGCCTTGCAGCATGAGAGAAAGCTGAGACGCTGATTTGGCCCAGTACCAAGATCACCTGTGACAGCTTGCTTCAGGATTTTAGACGTTTACTGCGCAGTTGCTATTATTCTGTTGACCTCTCAGTCCCATTTATCAAAATACAAACCAACAACCGGATATAAAACCAAACCACAGATATATTTTGAATCCGTTTTAATACAATATCAAGCAATGGATATTCTGATTTCAAATCAATTCTGTTCTTTTGAACTTTCTATTCATCAAAAAAATCCTAAAACAATGTATCATGGTTTTCACAAAAATATTAAGCCGCACAACTGTTTTCATAATTGATAGTAGTAATAGTAATGGTTGCTGAAAATTCAGCTTTGCATCATTGGAATAAATTACATTTTAAAATGTAATGAAATATAACCGTGATTTTAAATTGTAATAATGTAAAATTGTAATAAGTTGTAACAAATAAATGCAGACTTGTTGAGCATAAAAGAATGAAATCTTTTTTTCTTCCAAGGAACACTTTTTTTTTTTTTTTTATTACGATGATGATGATTATCTGTCATTCTATCTATCAATCATTCTGTTATCATCATCTTTATATTATTATTATTTCAGTTATTGTATAGTGTCTTATAAGGTTTTGCAGAATTAAAAACTTTTTAACTTTTTAACTTGCAATTTTTACTTTTCTACCTTTATTTTCTATTCTGTGGCGGAAACACAAATCGTAATTCTGAGTTTATATCTTTAATAAAAGTTTAGAATTGCTAGAAAAAGTCACAATTACCTTTTTTATTCTTTTCTCAAGTGGTGAAAATAGACTTCCATCAAAACTAACCTTTTAAACACTAGTGTACATTTGTTTCAATTAAAATGTAACAATCAGTGATAATATATTCTTTGTCTTGCGTTGCGTTATCTAGCATTTGTAACTATATGTGCGTATGAACGTGTCTGTGTTTATTTGAACATGTGCCGTGTATTCTTGCGTTCCAGGTGTGGGGTGTTACAAATTGGAGATAGAATTCTTTCCATTAATGGGATTCCCACTGAAGATGGAACACTGGAAGAGGCCAATCAGCTGCTCCGAGATGCAGCACTGGCCAATAAGGTCATACTGGAGGTGGAGTTTGATGTAGCAGGTACAAAATGTCATTTCAATCAAAGATCAGTGACTTGATTTTGAATGTGATCTGAACACACAATCACAGGTTTTTGATGTATATTGCTATGTGTGTATCTCACAGAATCAGTCATTCCCAGTAGTGGCACATTTCAGGTTAAGTTGCCCAAGAGACGTGGAGTGGAGCTGGGCATTACGATCAGTGGTGAGTGATGACGAAAAGAGACCGCTGTTGACCTAGAATAGTTTACAGATCAAATGCACCCAGCATTCAACGCTCTCAATATAATATCAAATTTGAGGTGTTATTGTGTTGCAAAATAAAGAAATACATTTACTACAAATAAATTCTAATTTGCAGTGAGCAAGAAGCCAGGAAAACCTTTGATCATCTCTGAGATACAGAGAGGCAGTATTGCACACAGGTAAACCATCAATACAACTCATTACAACTATTCATTTCTTTGACAAGAAAAACTAATAGATATTGATCTGAAATGGCCTTTTATAATAGAATAGGAACCCTGGAGCCAGGTGATTGTCTGCTGGCCGTTGATAATGTTCGGCTGGATAATTGTGGGATGGATGAGGCCATGATGGTCCTCCAGCAGGCCGAGGGGATGGTCAAACTGCGGATTCAGAAAGACGAAGACAACCTGGGTGAGTGTGTTTTTGTGTGTGTACTCTTTAAAAAAAAAATGCTGATTCTCATTTGTACTGGGGACATTTTAACTTGTGTATTTGTTTATTGCAGATGAATTAGAGTCGTCCGGTTCAGTCATATTCACAGTAGAGCTCAAGAGACACGGAGGTCCTCTTGGAATCACCATTTCAGGCACTGAAGAGCCCTTCAACCCCATCCTGATCTCCAGCCTGACCCGCAACGGCCTCGCACAAAGGTGCACACAAACACTCACCACCTCATCCAGTGTTTCATGCAGCAGTACATGAATAATACATACTCAAACCTGCATGTTTCATAACACACATCTTCTGACATCTTGAGCAGCAGGCTCACATGTGATATCTAGAGAACAGTGTGGAGACTGCAATGCAGTTAGTGTCACCTGACTTTTACATGAGATTTTATCTGTAAAGGACTGGCGCTCTTCATATCGGTGACCGTGTTTTGGCCATCAATAACATGAGTCTCAAGGGAAAACCTCTGAGCGAGGCCATCCACCTTCTGCAGACCGCCGGAGACACGGTTACGCTCAAGATCAAGAAGCGATCTGAACGTAAGTGTCAGAATTTAGACCTGTGTGAGTGTTCTGGAGAAGTGCATGCAAACATTTCCGATATGTAATTTAAAGCATTTTTATAAATAATGCATCAGTGCTTGTCCTCCTGACCCACGTCTGTCTTTCCAGCACTTTTGGAGTCAGAAAGGGGCAGCCCGTCCAGGACAGCTTCGTGCGCCAGTGACATGGAAGACGATCGCTCAGATTCTCTCGGGCGAGGGAAATACTCTGAACTTCACCGCCTGACCACACCGCCCAGTCTGGATTCAGCCATGGACTCGTGGGATAGTTCGGCCTTATATGGCCGAAGTCAAGGTACAGAAGATGATGACAAACGTAATTGAATGTTAACATGGGCTGAAACTTAAGGTCAGCGAGGGTTAATTAACTCAGTTGGACATTAATCAAGTGGGCGAGAGGGTTCAGAAAAGATGACTGTGCCTTGATTGTGATTTGTCCTAAGAGTTTTCTTTTATTGAGGTCAGTGAAGGAGCCTTGGGAAATTAAAGAGATAGTCAGGGTTGCCAGGTCCCAGAAAAATGTTAAACCAAAAACTGACCCAAACCTGCCAAAAAAGAATGAAAACTAGCTAATTTGTCCCCGCATCCAGTCACAGTTTACAGCTGCAGAATTCACATAAAATAAAATATTTTTAATTTATTCTATTTTTTATCATTATTATTATTATTATTATTTGGATAATTTTAGCTAAACAAGTTTATACGTAGTTTGTGCTTATCTAAATATTCTGTATTTTATATATCATATATATGGAATAAAATTAGATAGATAGATAGATAGATAGATGCTCTTAATTATTTTACTCTTTCTTTGATTGTAATTGTCTTTTATATTTTTTGAAGCACTTTGCATAATCAATTGTTTATAATGCGAGAGAGAAATTATTTTAGCTATTTTTGTCTTTAAATGCATACTGTTCTTTTACTTCCCCAATTCCTTTAAAAATCTTTTGTCTTCATACACGAAAATAAAATCCTGTCTGATATTTTTAATGACCTTTTGCCAGCCGACGTACATTATAAAAGTATCCAAAAATCCACATCCCACTGTTGTGTAATTTTTTGTCTTTGATGGCATTTTTTAAAATATCCTAATTGGCAACACTGAAGATGATTCACCCAAAAATGAAATCTAATTGATCCATACCTGTATAACTTCCAAAAGGACCATAAAAGATCCATAAATACAGGACACTATATTCCTTATAGTCGTTATTTCTGGAAAATCTTCCCCTTCATCATAGCTCTCAAATCTAACTCATGTTTGACCATAATCAAACCTAAACCTTTATTTTCAGGTGTCTATATTCATAGGGCGTCTGATTTCACTCTTCATCCCAATGACTGGAGACAGACCAATCACAGGAGCCCGCTGATCTCCAGAAGACACGACCACCGGCCTACAATGTATGATGGGAGGCTGGGCGAGGAGGACTGGACATACTACAGAAGATGATGACAAACGTAATTGAATGTTAACATGGGCTGAAACTTAAGGTCAGCGAGGGTTAATTAACTCAGTTGGACATTAATCAAGTGGGCGAGAGGGTTCAGAAAAGATGACTGTGCCTTGATTGTGATTTGTCCTAAGAGTTTTCTTTTATTGAGGTCAGTGAAGGAGCCTTGGGAAATTAAAGAGATAGTCAGGGTTGCCAGGTCCCAGAAAAATGTTAAACCAAAAACTGACCCAAACCTGCCAAAAAAGAATGAAAACTAGCTAATTTGTCCCCGCATCCAGTCACAGTTTACAGCTGCAGAATTCACATAAAATAAAATATTTTTAATTTATTCTATTTTTTATCATTATTATTATTATTATTATTTGGATAATTTTAGCTAAACAAGTTTATACGTAGTTTGTGCTTATCTAAATATTCTGTATTTTATATATCATATATATGGAATAAAATTAGATAGATAGATAGATAGATAGATGCTCTTAATTATTTTACTCTTTCTTTGATTGTAATTGTCTTTTATATTTTTTGAAGCACTTTGCATAATCAATTGTTTATAATGCGAGAGAGAAATTATTTTAGCTATTTTTGTCTTTAAATGCATACTGTTCTTTTACTTCCCCAATTCCTTTAAAAATCTTTTGTCTTCATACACGAAAATAAAATCCTGTCTGATATTTTTAATGACCTTTTGCCAGCCGACGTACATTATAACTGTATCCAAAAATTTGTCTTTGATGGCATTTTTTAAAATATCCTAATTGGCAACACTGAAGATGATTCACCCAAAAATGAAATCTAATTGATCCATACCTGTATAACTTCCAAAAGGACCATAAAAGATCCATAAATACAGGACACTATATTCCTTATAGTCGTTATTTCTGGAAAATCTTCCCCTTCATCATAGCTCTCAAATCTAACTCATGTTTGAGCATAATCAAACCTAAACCTTTATTTTCAGGTGTCTATATTCATAGGGCGTCTGATTTCACTCTTCATCCCAATGACTGGAGACAGACCAATCACAGGAGCCCGCTGATCTCCAGAAGACACGACCACCGGCCTACAATGTATGATGGGAGGCTGGGCGAGGAGGACTGGACATACTCTGGGTGAGAGTTTAGGGACACAGCTTGATTCTATTGGTACAGTACTTCATCTTTATTATCTTAGAGATACTAGTCAGGAACTAGGAGGTTAAAGAAGCATAACAGCTGATTTCTTTATGAGAAGGACACTTGTGCATAAGAACGTTTCTTGCTTGTTTTATAGTTTTGGTTGCTAACACAAAATCATGTGGCTGTTATTCTTTCTCGTGGTTTGTCGATTATTATTTTCCATGTATGTGCACTTAAGAATGAAACATACAGGTGAATCATAAAGAACATGTCCAGGTCATAATTCAAAGACACATTATTTGAATTGTAACACATTCATACATCACAGTTTAATCATTTGTATTACAAACTACTTTTACTTTATTCAAAATATATTTTATTTCTATTCTTTTGATTTTGGAGTGAACTGTAACCTGAACATGTTGTCATGCACTGTCTGTAAAATACTGACAATTTTACAAGATTATGATTTTTGGTCTTTTTTTTATCATAGCAAATTATGTACTCTTCCGTTCAAAAATTTGGGGTCAGTAAGATTTTAAAAATATGTTATGATCACCAAGTCTGCATTTATTTAATCAAAAATTGAGTAAAAATATTGAACTGTTATTGCAATTGTTACAATACATTTAAAAAAAAGTAATTTATTCCTGTGATCAAAGCTGAATTTTCAGCATAATTTCTCCAGTGTCACATGATCCTTCAGAAATCATTCTAATAAACTGATTTGCTGCTCAAGAAACATTTCATATTATTGTCAGTGTTGAAAACTGTTGTGCTGCTTCATATTTTTATGGAAATCGATACATTCTTTGATGAATATAAAGTCCAAAAGAACAGCATTTATTTGAAATAGAAATCTTTTGAAACATTGTGAATGACTTTACTGGCACTTTTGATCAATTTAATGCATGTTTGCATAATAAAAGTAAAAATAAAAAAATGAATACTTAAATACTTTTTGACCCCAAACTTTTGGGTGTATGGTAAATGTATATTTATATGTATATAAACTTATTTAAATGAAGTCTTAAACATTACAAAACTGAAGTAACTAAAAGTGACAACAGCAAGTACTAAATTTTTTTTACTTAAATGGAAATTTATGTAAGCGATTAATGTACCGTAATACAGGTATACATTTTTTTTTACAGTATGAGATTCACACATATTTGTTAAATTAGACAATTTGATGGTGATTATATGTAATTTTGATGATCCAGTGGAAAGTTAATGGCCTTTCTTTGTAAATCCTTTATGGCATACGCTTTTTCTGTTGCAGTTTTAGTTTCTGTGGCTAAACGCTTGTTCAAGATGCACACAGTCTACATACAAAACTAGCCTGTTTGCTTCCACAGTCTCTGTATGCTCCTACTCTTCTCTTCTCTATTTTTTCTCAGGTTTTCTGTCTCTCGTCTGCCTTACTAATCATCCGTGGGCCACTCCCTGTCATCTGCCCTTGTCTGCTTCTTTTTTTATCGCTCATTTTTATCATTTTATCTCCTGAATTAGTGCACGGCCTCTTCAGACACATCAGTGTGTGTTTCTCTTTCTCTAACCGCAGCTGAGAACAGTACACCGTGACTGTTCCAATCATGCCGTACAGTACAGTTTTATAAAGAGAGAGAGAGCTCCGTTTCCAATAGTACACCTGGCCTTACATTACCCAGGTTGCTTTGCATTGACACAGATCTGTCAGTCCCGCACGCTGTCACAGCCACAACAATACAGACGCTCAGGAGAACTATTGGTCACAAGCTCTTCAGGACCTGGAGACCTGCGGCCAATTGGAAATCCTGCGGAAACTTGAGGTGAATCGACTCTTTATCAACACTTTATATACAGTCTATGTGCTTTGATTGTTAAACCATTATGTTTTGGCTTTCTAGCCACTCCCAGTTTGTTACGTAGAGGTGGGCAACATGACCAAAATCTATACCATGATAGAAGTAATTCTCAACAAAAATCTTTACCATGACGTGATTTGAGCAAAATCTTTACCATGATATGATTTTTTTTTAACCAAAATATCTACCATGATAAGGATTTTTCGACCAAAATCTTTACCAAGATAATTTTTATTTTTTTTTACCAAAAGTAATCAGCATATTAGAATGATTTCTGAAGGATCATGTGCCACTGAAGACTGGAGTAATGATGCTGAAAATTCAGCTTTGCATCACAGGAATAAGTTATATTTTTTAATATATTAAACTAGAAAACATTTATTTTTAATTGTAATATTTCACAATATCACTGTATTTATACTGTTTTACTGTATTATTGATCAAATAAATGCAGCCTTGGGGAGCAGAAGGGCATAGAATAAGTCATTTTTTAACCAAAATTTTTACAACGATACAAGTAACCAAAATCAAAGAGTATTTAAATCTCTTAATAGAACAAGACCGACCGCAAACGTCATCATTCATGTTAGTCCCGCATGTCATTCCAAATGTGGTGCAGTTTGTATTGGAGTGTGTTATATTTTCTTTGTAGGCTACTATAATGTCAGGCAGCACGCTGAGTTTAGGAGAAGACAGCGAGAAGCAGAATGAAGGCAGGACCAAAGCTCTCGCATTGAGCCCAGAGAGGACCTCGGAGAACACCGCTGTACTGGAAGACATGAAGGACACCAGCCCATCAATGCCATTAGAGCTTCATAAGGTAATGTTCACTTTCCCAGCGGTTGAAATCACAACTTAATGCCTGTCAGATCTTCATTGTCTCCCTCTGTCTCAAGATCTGTATGCAAAAGGATGTTGACAGCAGGGATTTTGGGTTCAGCGTGTCTGACGGTCTGCTGGAAAAGGGTGTTTACGTGAACGTGATCCGTCCGGATGGGCCTGCTGACCAAGCTGGGTTACGCCCATATGACCGTGTTCTACAGGTGATGTATTCTACTGGCTGACCATTTCTTAAAGGGATAGTTCACCTCAAAATGGAAAATGTCACTATTTACTCACCCTCATGTCGTCTGTGTTCTAGAAGGTTGAACTGTTCCTTTTACCTTGACAGTTTTCTTAAGGGGGTATATATATATATATATATATATATATATATATATATATTTATTTATTTAAAGAAATTTAGCGTAGCGTTAGTTCTGGCAGGTCAAGTTTGTCAAGCTCGCATCAGCTGACTTTCAGCTGATCCCCATCTACCTATGGGAATACGACACCTATCTAAGCATTCATATATAAGGTCCCTCAGTATTATCAGCAGTTTTCGCATTGCTCAATAGATAATTACCCTCCTCCATCCCCAGCTCCTCCTCTGTCAGTCAGGATTCAGCCTTCTGATTCTCCTTTGAATCAGACTAATTCTAAAATGTGTACATAAAATTATTGAACTTTAACAATATCTGCAATACATTTATGTTGGTTCTGTTCTGTTTACCCTGGGGGGCTATTGTTGCTCTCATTCATGCTAGGCTGCATGGATGCGCATGGAGTTCTTGCCCAGAACAGAACCATACTGCCAATCCAAACTGTATGCTAATTGTCAATCATCTTTGACGATAGTGGTCCTGACAGAAATGAATACTTTTATTCAGCAAGGATGCATTAAATTGATCAAAAGTGACAAAGACTTTTGTAATGATACAAAAGATTTGCATTTTGTATCTATTCATCAAAAAAAAAAAAAAATGCATCACAGTTTGCACAAAAATGAAGCTGCTTTCAACATTTGATAAGAAATGTTTCATTAGCAGGAAATCAGCACATTAGAATGATTCTGAAGGATCATGTTACACTGAAGACTGGAGTAATGATGCTGAAAATTCAGCTCAAGTTCAATCTACTGATTTTGTTTCTGACTATTTTTAACAGGTCAATCACGCACGGACACGTGATTTTGACTGTTGTCTAGCTGTGCCGTTGATCACAGAGGCCGGAGAGCATCTGCAGCTGGTCATTAGCAGAAACCCTCTCGCTCAGGCACACGTTTGGCCACCTAAAAGTGACATCTTGATATGAATGTTTCAGGTGCATGTGACGCAGTTCGGTGATGTCATTTGCGTATCATAAGGCGCTTTATGTCTTTATGTCCTGATACAAACCACAAGTAAATTCAGATTTTAAGTGAAGTCCTTCAAAGGAGCTTGTTTTACGTCTAACTTTTAAAAGCAGATCCGTCTCTGTATATCGTTTACCCACAATCCTCTATTCTGTGCATAAACCCTTTTTCCTGGATGTTAAATATGTAGAATGCTATGAATAAGATGTACGTTTAATATTCTTGGGTTAGAAATGATCATTTCCTTTTTTAAAGAAAATAAAGGCTAAAAACCAGTGTGTATGTAACCCTGTCTGTGGTAAGGAAACAAGCTTAAACTGAAGACAGGTGCATGTTGGGATCTCTCGCTGTCGTTCCAGCACGTGTGCCTGTCAGGACGTGATGTGAACTTGACCATCAACCTCAACATCCCGATCCATTCTGGTACAGAACATCAAAGAGCAGGCATAGACGTTTCTGAACAGACTTTACACAACACATACCAAGATTGGAGATTTTTATTTTGTCTGAAAGATGCAATATGCATCTAGAATGGTGTCTGGCACAAAACCTTGGTTTTACAAGATTCTTTTTGTTTGTTTTTGTTTAATCAAGTTAGCTTACAGTACAGCAACATGTGAATGAAAAATCTGATCTTGAATTTCCGGTTTTCATCATATTACAGTACTTTCCAGCTGAGATTATATTAAGAAATGGACAAAGCCAATTGTTTACAAATATTGCACACTGCAAGTTGCATTTAGGCTGACAACTGATAAACGTTTAAATATAAAGTTCTGAATACATTCAGAAAAAATATAGGCAAAAGACCAATCACATCAGGTACAGTATAAAATGGTTAAATACAAAAAGGCAAATTTGAGATAAATGAAAATTCTACAAATGAGCAAACAATGAATAGTTAGCTCAAGATGGGTGGAAATAGGTCAGAGGGTTTAGCTAAATCTAGAAGGGTTCAGGGGTCAAAGGACAGGTCGGATGAACTGATGTGTACAAAGTCGCTGGGGTCAGAGGGGACTGTATTTATGGAGGCTGGATGGTCGAAGGTAAAGGACACAGAAGTATTATGAGGGGCAGTTCTTTGCTGTTAGTGATTAGCTTGAATATTTGGAAGTTTTAAGGCTAAAGAGACAATCTCGTACTTAGACATAAAGCCCAGGTTTCCTGCGTTCATTCTGAAAGCTGATGGTTTGGTGATTGTGAGCGAGTTTGGCTATGCTCAATCATGTGATATACCGTGGCTTCCAAACGTCTGAAATGCCTGGGAATCAAAATTGATTAGGATAAAAAAAAAAAATGATGCACTATATCTAGGTCACTAATCAAATGCAAGTGAATTAGTGATATTGATCATGTGACTCTTTGTACAGACAGTCCACTGATGCACAAGATGCTCATCAGGTTTTGTTCATGTCGGCTTTTTCCTCAAATTATTATGCTGATATATAATTCACAAAGAAAACGATCCGAAAAATGATTATACACAATTCATACAGAGCCTTGCACATAATATGTGGGAACATATTCCCTCGTTTTAGTTCAATCATTTTCACAAATTAAGAAATTGTTCCCACAACTTATTTATTCATTCCCTCATTTTAGTAAATTGAGTTCACGTTGTACTAACGGCACGCATTCCCTATTTTGATTGAATTAAAATGAGAGAACGGATTCATTTGTGGACATGATTTGACTAAAACAAGGGAACAAACTCTTAATTCATGGTCACATATTTTTGTCTGCATGTCATGCTCTTTAGCATTAATTTAAAACAACAACAAAAAGCATTGAATATAAAATAAAACATCTAAAAAATAGATTTTTATTCATTCTTAAATAATAGTCTTTTAAAAAAAGCTACGTGTACAATACCAAATGAATTAAAATATGATTGATACATTTACTTTCTTGAAGAAAAGTAGAAATTTGCTGACTTTTAACAGGTTTTTAATAAATTTATATAAGTGAGGAAGTTGAAAAGCTTGAATTAACTTTTCTTTAAAACAAAAACATTCAGGAAAGTTAATTAAAAAGAAAAAAATTATATATATATATATATATATATATATATATATATATATATATAGTGTGGATACAGAAAAT